AAATAACAAGCATTCCCCGCCTTCAGTCTAACCTTAATCTCTTCTTCAATTTCGTTTTTTCTAGTTATCGTAGAACCTAGATACCTAAATTTATCTACCTGTTCAAACATATTACCATCTATATCGATATCACCAGTAGTATCGCCATTTTTGCAGCTAACCATATATTTTGTTTTATCCACGTTTATTTCGAGTCCTAGTTCTTTACCGGCTTTCATTAACGTTGTCGTATTTAGTTTTATAGTTTCAACTTCTTCGCTTAACAGTACCAGATCATCAGCATAGCCCAGCACGGATGTTGTCCCGCCCAGATCCAACCCTTTCTCGGTTCGCATTACCTCCCTAATGGCATGTTCTAATGCCAAATTGAACAGGACAGGCGAAAGAGAATCCCCCTGTTTTAAGCCCGAACGAACCTCAAATTTTTCGGACAAATTATTACCGATTCTAACTTTATTGAGTGTCTCCGTCAAGCACATCCTGACTAGATTTACTAGTTTTTTTGGAATCCCCTGCTCGATTAGAATATTATACAGTTTCTGGCGGTCAATAGAATCGTAAGCCTTTTTAAAATCTATATACAGCTGGTGAACAATGCCGTTATACTCCAATTTTTTCTCTAATATTTGCCGTAAAGAAAATATTTGATCAATAGTCGAACGATTCCGTCTAAATCCGCATTGGTAGTCTCCGATAATTTCCTCGGCGTATTCCGTAATTCGACTGGTTAAGATTGAAGTGAATATTTTATAACATACCGGAAGGAGTGAAATTCCTCGATAGTTATTACAATCCGTCCTCGGACCCTTTTTGTGAATCGGAATAAGAATAGATTCTTTCCATTCTTCAGGTAATTTCTCGTTCACCCAGATCTTTTTAACCAACCGATGTATTTTAGAAACTCCAGCTTCCCCGCATGCCTTAATTAGTTCAGTAGGAATATTATCGATTCCCGCTGCTTTATATGATTTTAATTTTCCGATAGCTACTTCAACTTCCTCTTTACTTGGTCCTTCTATTAATGGTTCAGCACTCTGGTACTCAGAAGGAGGACACAGATCATAATTTCCCGTATTTAAAATATTGTCAAAGTGGTCCTTAAACTTATTTAATATGTCAACCGGATCGGTCAGAATATTGTTATTATCATCCCTAATTCCAGACGTTACGGGCCCTACATATTTACGTGATCTGTTTATGCCTTTGTACATGTCTCTTACGTTATTTTCGATTCTATTAGTTTCTATTTCAATTATTTTATTTTTAAGATACTCCCTTTTTTTATTTTTGAGCAATTTTGTCGTTTCGTTCTTTGAGATTCGGAAGTATTCCAGATTGTCTTCGCTAGGATTATTTAGAGCTTTTAATTTAGCGGCTTTTCTTTTTTCACACATGTTTAAGCAATCTTCATCAAACCACGGTTTGTTATTCTTATTTTCCTTTTTTCCTAGACACGAGTTACCGACCGCTTTAATATTATCCCTGATCTCTATCCATAACTTGTCAATATCCTCGTGGTCCTCGTCAGGAAGCTCTAAAGCTTCAAACCTATTCTTAACATCTAGCTCGAATTGGTTTCTAATTGATGGATTTTTCAATTTTTCCAAATTAAAATTCTCAAAATCGAAACGGTTTTCTTTTCTCTTTTTTATATTAAGTTTTTGTCGAAGTTTCGCGATTACTAATTCATGATCCGACCCACATTCTGCTCCGCGATAAGACCGTACATTAATTATACTGCTTTGCCAGCTATGTTGTATCAAGACATGATCGATTTGATTTCGTGTTTGCGAATCCGGTGATGTCCAAGTATATTTATGAATATCCTTGTGTTTAAACGTCGTACTTTTAATTATCAGGTTTTTCGAGATGGCAAAGTTTATCAGACGGATCCCATTATCATTACTATATTCGTGCAAACTTTCTTTACCAATCGTCGGAATATAAACTTCTTCCCTTCCTACCTTTGCGTTCGCGTCACCTACAATTATTTTCATGTAGTTTCGCGGTAGTTTATCATAAACCCATTCGAGTTTATCGTAAAATTCACTTTTGACTTCATCGTCACTGTCTTCGGTCGGACAATGTATGTTTATTAATGCGATTTTAAACCAACGTCCCTGAAATGTAGCTACCGAAATTCTATCACTAAAGAATTGTACGTCCCTCAAAGCGGATAGTAATCTACTCCTAATTAGAAACCCGGTACCCAAACAATGATTCCCGCTTCCTCCGTACCAAATAGTGTACTTTCCTTCCCTCATCGAGCCCTCCCCTGGCCAACGAACCTCTTGCAGAGCCACGACATCCAAATTGTACCCATTTACCTCATTCGTGACCGATTTTAGCCCCCCTGCTGTGTTTAAACTCCTTACGTTCCACGTACCAATATTTAAATCCCTATATTTCAACTTGCACCATGAATCCCCTAAAGCAGTCCCCACCCGGAGACCCGAACGGGGGACTAGTTTACCTCCGGATAATGAGCGTTTTACCTTAGGGAGATCCATGACTTTTTGTGGTGTTTGGTGAACTAAAGATATGTGAGTAGGGCGTTCAATCCTACGTCACACCCTCCAGCAAGTCTGGTGGGCCCCTACCTCCAGCAAGTCTGGAGGTCCCCTCCCTCCAGCAAGTCTGGAGGGCCCCTCTCATTGTTGGTCAGCGAGTCCATCGGACTTAGCCGGGAGGAACTTCCAAGAAATTTCCACCGACCATTCCCACATCCGCCACCCGTGGGACGCTCCCCATACGCGGTAATGAGCCCGCGCGAGGTAATTTGCATAATGTTAATTATAATTGTTTTAGAGATTTACAATGCTAAATTTGAATATATTGAATAATTGATAAATGTTGTTAAAATTGTTACTATATCTGCGAATATCTCACAGATTTTTCTTTTTAGATGTCTTATAGGTTTGTGTGGGTATAAAGCTTATATTGGAAGAATGTGTGGCTATTTTTGGACTACTGTGATATGTGCTCTGGGATAGTGAGATATTTGAGGATAATTTTATTTTGAGAGAAAATAAACATTCAAGATCTTAGGAAGGATTTGGAATGTAGGGATTTACTGATGATGGCTTTGGTCGTAACTGTACTTTGAGGTTTAGCCACTGTACATTCCGGAAGGGCATACACTACAGAGATATATTCGAAAAAAGAAGGGGTTTCTTTGGTTTCGCTACTACGCCATATCCTATGTTCAAAAATCATAATGTACCATAAATTATATAATCACAAATAATAAATAAATAAATTATATAAACTACGTTAGGTGCAATAATGCCTTTTTTACTTGCCCTTGAACCTGCCCTTTATAACAATTGGAGGTCATCAAATATTGACCCTTCCTCTCTCCCTCGATAGTAGGAACTCATCCCCTGTTGCTTTGCTTGAAGGGACTGTAAGCACGAGGTTTTGTCTAGTCAACTTCTTATGATTTGTCCTTGTTTAAGAATGAGCAATAGTAGTTTTTTAACCGACTTTAATTGTTCAATAGAAGAAATTAATGAGGTAATTTGAATTTTTTTAATACATATAATATTCTTTCAGACCACATTCCTGTACAAACTAATATAAAAATATTTCACATAATTTTTTATCATATAAAGGTTTGATTTCATCATAATCCTTCATTACAAATTGCAAATGGTGTTTACTCAAAATGGGTAGTGATCATTTATCAACCATTAAGGAAATGCGGTAATAAACAAAATTTTTCTCCAGTAATTACTTTTTTATGGTTATTTAGATTTGAAAAAATAATGGATTTGAAATAACAATTACATTCTGTCGTCTTCACAATTCATTGTTGTAGTAAAAAAAATATAAATTTAGTAGTTAAAATAAAAAAAAATGAGATATTCTGCCAACCAATTTTTTGAATGGATCTCTTAATTCATTACATTTTTTATTTAATTTAACTTTTTTTTATCGTTGTATACCGAATACGTGTCGGTATTACTTGTAATAATATGTACGATGGTCGGTCATCCATAAATCCTTGAAACCATCATTAAGGCCGCCGGACCTACTATGGGCTTTTAGATCAACTTTATATGAAATTAATTTTTCTATTAGACTAGGAAAGTTTATGTTTGATTTTTTTCTGCGATTGCTGAATTGATTCACCCCGTTTCTACTTGTCTTCATCATAACCTCTTCATCTAATGTCACCAGATAGATAAAGGACACCATATCCATTTTTTAAATAATTAATTTAGTAAATAAAGAAACTAATTTTAAGAGATTTTAATAGCTCAAAATTATGGAAAAATTGAATCCCTGAACAAATTCAAAATATGACATGGTGTCTGTGTGTGTGAGTACAGATTCGGACTACTCCGAAACATAAAAATTCTTACTTCATAAGGGTGGGCTCGATATACATATGACATTGTCTGTACATGATGATGACATTGTCTGTACATCTTGATAGACTTTACAATATCTCAATTTTCTATCTAACTACTCCATTCTCCATGTCTTAGTTTTACTATTTATTTTCATTTCTTATATAAATTCATATTTCTTTTTTGTTTTACATTTTATTCTAAGATTCCCATTTTAACACTTATGTCACCCTTTTTGATTAAGCTTACTTCATCATTCCACAATTTTTAACGGTTATTATTATTTATCTCTTAGTTCTTACTATTGTCATTATTGTAACAATTTCATTTTACTTTATTCTTTTATTTTTCTTTATATATATTTATATTTTTTTTTACCATCCCTACTTATGTTTCTCATACCTTGTTATCTGATTATTTTCTTAGCCCTGATGAAGGCCTGAACTTCAGGTCGAAACGTCGGCATATGTAAAAATAAATATTATCATTTATTTTTGCCTTCTTTTTTGACGGACCACCCCAACTATTCTTCTCTTCATTATCCACGACGGCCAACCATTTACCAGTTATAAAAATCATTTTGTATAGTTTCTTTCAGAGTTCTTCTTTTTACCTTCAATAATAATTACCGTTTAATCCACTAGTGCAATATATCTTAGTCGTTTCTATATGAATTTTAAATATATGTTCCCCCTCTGAAGCCTATCAACGTTTCCGAGCAATATGGCACCATTTCCAATGAATATGCTATGTCGTTATGCGTAATTTAAATAATAAAGAGGCGCCTTTTGTGCCTTGCCCCCCGGGCAACTTCAGCGCTCTGTCGAGATTATTACATCGGAATCCAGTTATGGGAGCTACAACAGCTCTTTGAATTGGAGAAAAATTGAGTCCCATCGATCCAGCGCTGCGAGCCCAAATAACGACATTAGGTGTTAATCTGTTTCGGCGCTGTCCGGGGCGCGACATCTGCCTCTCCCGCGGGGGCACGTGTTTTGGTGACGTCAGAGGGTCAGCTGATGATCCCTCCACGTGGCCTTGCTGCGTACACGTGGGGCCGCGAACTGCTCGGCTCCGCTCGGCAGCCTCCGTGACCCCCTTCCACCAACTGGGCCAAGGATCCCCTCACAGATGTTCCTCTGTTTACACTCCTCTTCTCTTATCTCTATCTCATCGTCTCTCTCTCTACCTTACTGATAAGTTATCACCCTCTCGATTCATAAGATAATCCAATTGTCCCCTTTTCAAAGCTAGATTATCCTAAATAAACAAGATTAATTATGGGAATTTACTGGGCTGTGTTGGCGAATATAACCTATAAAAATTGCAATATAGAGCTAATCTGCTTTTGATATTTCCAATTCATCATTTAAATGTAGTCTCCATTCCACTCAACTTACTAAACAAGCGACTAATCTACACCACTATACTAAGACCTATTTGGACATACGGAGCAGAACTTTGGGGTTCCGCAAAACACACACACACATAAACATAATTCAAACCACACAATCCAAAATACTCCGTAAAATCGTCAATTTTCCTTGGTTTATTTCAAATCACACCATACACACAGACATGAACATACCAAAAGTAAAATCCTACATACACAACAAGTACACAACATTTCACTCTTCCACTCTCAATCATCCAAACCCACTCGTTCTATCTCTATCTTCCTCCCTGTTACCTGGTGAGCCTCAAAGACGACTAAAAAGGCAGTGGCCTAGAGATCTGCTGAAAAGTTAAGAATATATCAGGAATTCAAGAAGATATAATTAACGCCAACACATTTGCTTGATGCGTTCCAACGCGGTGGCAAATTTAAAATAACAAAAAAAAAAATAAAATTTGTACTGCTTTAGTTTTTAAGTTATTAGCTTTTTAAACAATACTTCCTTTATAAATAGATTTTCTGGTTTTTGATGAAAATCTATTTAAGGTGGCGGTAGTTAGCTCAGGATTTAATTTTGGGAGGAGAGCTGCTTTTTTAAAAAATAATTTAAATAAATATTTTTTAACTCCGGAAAAAAAGAACAAACAACCTGTATGAAATGATATTTGAATGGTCCCTGAAGGCAAAAGCAAAGAAATTATATAAAATAAACAATAATTCTTTTAGACGAAAAATCATCTAATTTTTTTCTTGATAGATGCTAATAATAATATATATATATATATATATATATATATATATATATATATATAACATAGTATAAAAATAATTTCCAATTATACATCAACAATTAATATTTGTTTATATAACAAAAAAGGGGAATTGATAACGTATTGACTCATTTCCTAGTTGCATGTTTTAATTTCTCTGTGCCCATTATAACCGATTCAGAGTTTTAAGGCATAGATTCAATTGGTTGGTATAATTAGGTTGTTAAAAAATAAAAAATAAATAAAATAAAAAAATACATAATCTTATAGGGTAGATGCAACAAAAAATTGAATTAATTAAAAAACAAACACAAAAATAGAAATGGCATATATCCAACTGCATACTGACTGAATGGATTACAAAATATAAAAGTAATTCCCAATTATACATCTAATGGGTTTTTCATTTAATTCTAAGAGAAATATTATTTTATTATTAAGTATTATTTACTTATTTGATTGCCGTTAGCGCCTGATGACTTTTTATGATACTAATACATATTACATAATTCAACATGGATGGGCGTGAACTCAACTTATCCATAATGTTTAGTTAGTTATCTGTTATACTTATGCGTTGTTTTAAGCGCTTTATATAACGATTCTTTCTTCATCTGTTCCTACTATGAACCGCTTCTTCTTAAGATGAAAATATTCAAACAAACGCTATTAGTCTCTACTATTTATAGTTTTCAATAAAATCCTCTCAACTTCTTTTGTTTAAGAAAGACCGTATACCCATTAGTCATGAAATGATTCCGTGAGAATTATCCTACAGCGATTATCACGAAGTGTGTGGAGAAGGTGTAAATAATTATAACGTGATGAAGCATTTAAACATGACAATGCTACAAGTGTATATTCAGATATATTTCTGTAATAAACAAACAGATATAGATGTTAATTATTCCATAAATTAATGGAAGCGCGTTCTTTATTAGATTAGTAAGGGGCGAAGGTCCCCTTAGTTTATTGGAAACTGTAAAATATGGCTGGGAAGGGGAGGTTCGAACTGATGAGCGTTTGCTCACCCCTAAACGCGCCTAATAAAACATAAACATTATTTATATGTAAGTTCACGGTGGTTCTTCAAATTGGAATGATTGGAGAACCCTTTTGTTAATAACTTATATAATGTTTTTATCTAATTTATCATTTATTAATTTTGGTTGACTTTACGTTTTATAAGTATTTTATTGATATACTATTCGTTATCCATTATCTTTATACTTTGATTTTCCTCTCATAAAAGTATAAGAATAAATCATGAATTTCTATCATACCTCCATTTCATTGTTACGTATAATTTATAAACTATCAACATGATTTCTAGTTGACACCCAATTTCGCCAAAAAGCATTTCTGTGTCGGTTAAAAGTTAAAATAAAGTAAATCTTGTCAGGGGGAGAATCTGGATACTAAATAAAAACTATAAGTTGCCGTATAAACCAGAGTTTGAAGTCGATAATTATGTTTTCCACACAATCATTTAATAATTATTATATTTTGATTTTTAATTAATATATTATGCCTGATTTAGAAATAAAAATTTAAATCGATCTTTGATGTTTATTGATTCGATTAAAGATAATGACCACTCAATTTAGGTTTTACATAAATAATAATGATAAAATTGTTAGAAAAAATATTGTAATCAGAAAATAAAAAATACGTTTTAAACGCAAATCAAATATTAATATGTATGTATACGTCATCAATATACACACTTTTAAATATTATATTTCTAAAATCGTTCTAATTGTGCCTGTTAAAAGCGTTTTAATGACCCTCTAGAGTAGAGGCGAATACAAATAAAAAAAAAAAAAATTGTATCTGCGTTACCTGCACTATATTTAAACACACATATATATTTTTTTTTGTAAGCCAACATATATAATGAATTTTGGAAATAAAGATGTTCTGTTGCTAATAGATTATGTTTCTGATTTAAAAAAGTATTACTCAAGAATTATTATTATAATTAATTGTAAAAACTTGGTTCAAAAATAATGATTAGAACATGATTTTTATCACTTACGATGAAAAATAAAAAACGTTCTTAATAAAAATCATTTGATGATTTTTGAGAATTCCAGATACTAATTTTGATTTTGATTTTTTTAAATTACCGGTTAACATAAAAATTATCGAAACACTGGTATGAACATTGCCAATAGCAGTTTGAATGGATATAAAATAATTTGGTTCTAAAATATAAACATTGATAACATTTCTTAAATAATTATATATAGAATAGAAAAAATATTATAGATAACAAAATTAATATTTCGAAATCAGATTAAAAGGTTATAAAGTTACAAATATAAATACTTTACACTATTTTACCTTATTATTTCTTCTTCTTTATAACTACTAATATAGCACTCCAATAAAAGTTTTGCATTAGAAGACCTCGATGCCATCTTCTTTTCAAAAGCCTCAGAGGATTCTCAGGATTTGTAGAAGAAGCAAGATTAGAAACAAGAGGGTTCAGACGGCTTTAAAGTTTATTATAGAAGGGAAGGTATCTAATTTGGGCCAAATCGGTAACATATGGAACACTAATGCCATTATGGAAGGTTTCTTTTTGTGACATAATAAGGAATATTGAGATTTTTTAATTTTTTATAGGGATTGAATACGAGAGAAAGTCGAAGGTTTTGTGGAGCCCCAAGACCAAATTCATTTCACCAAATACCCCTTATTACAGTCATTTAAATGAGCCTTTGGCAGTTAATTGGAAAATTAAAGCGTTTGTCTAATAAATGGTGAAGTGGCCTGTAACGTCGAACACTTTCTTGTCGCCTCAGTCATGCTCGACAACAAATTTGTCCAGATCACGGGCGGATCTACGGGGAGGGGGCTTTCGGGCTGAAGCCCCCCCCCCCCAAATGGAAAAATATAACCATGTTTTATGGGAAAAAAATTTAAAAAAATATCTCTTAAAGTATTATTGTTCGTGTAATTACATTTAAAAGTACTTAAGGAATAACTTAAAGACCATTTCATATAGGTAGTTAGTTTATTTCTGTTTTTCAAAGTAATTATCGTTATTTTTATGAAAAAAAAGTTTCGGGCTGAAGCTATCCCCCCCCCAAAAATTAAATCCTGGATCCGCTAGTGGTCCAGATGAAGACCTAAGCAGCAGATCTCTTCAACAGAGATAAGTGGAGTATTACTAAAAGATGTAGTAGAACAGGAAGTCATTAGCTCACTGAGAAGGCTAAATGCGATTTGATAGAATTTCTTGGAATTTATCCAACTCCTCTAGTTTTGGCACCATTCTTCAATGTTTTTGATGTGTGATTTAAGAGTTTAGGAAACAACGGGTCATTATTAACTGATAAGATATGAGTGTTATCGACTTACTTCATGATGACAGTTTTAGGTTAGTTTGGGATGCCATTTGCATAAACTGTGTAGAGAACAAGATCGAGAATACGACCTTCAGGAATATCAGCAGGCTGAGAAAAGAGGGATGAATAGGAATCATTGCGATTTATTTTAAAATCAGTAAGATAAGAACGGATAAGAAGATAGCTTGTATGAATTTATGGCGTTAGTAAAGTAGTCCCAGGTGGCAGACTCTATCAAAAGCCTGTTCTACGTCGAGAAAAACTCCCGTGCAGTATATTCTGCACCCCAATGCACAGAGGAAACATCGTTAACACGTATATGGATATCTGAATTTAAAACTGGTGATCTAGAGTTATGTGATTAAAATCTAGGTTGTAGCACAGGTGTTTTAAAAATGTGTTTTTCCAGGATTTTTCCCATGATGAGCAAAAGAGAGATTGTGTGTTATTATTCAGTTAATCCACGTACTTGTGTAAAATATTGGATTTTCGTTGAAATTTGAGATCTAAATAGGATATTATTTTTTTCATTTACTCTACTTCAGGACACTACAACCAAAACGGAATCCCATTAGGTCTTTTTTCAGTAAATATTAAAAATAATTTATTGAACAGCATTTTGAGAAATGTGAATGTGAATTTAAATAACAATCTAAAGGAATATAAATAAATAAATAGATTAATTCTGTGATAAAATTCACAGAACGAAGTCTACTTATAGCTTTTTAAACTTGTTATTGCCATTTTTTTTTTATTTTTTTTTTTTCATATTTCACTATCCTACTTATCTAGCATTTATGCATAATATACGAGCTAAATAAAATGCGTGGTTTTATAAAAATATTTTAACAGTCGTTATTAATTGTAATTTTTTTATGAAACGATTTTACCTCCGATAGAGACTTGTTACGCAATGAAATAATGGTTTATTAAAAATTTGCATTTCTTTTTCTCTGATGGTTGAAGCATAAACAAATCAATCACATTTCCTACTTAAATCACTATTTATATCCTGCGAAACCGCATCAATTATGATTTATTTTTTATAAATAATCCACATTTTAATGAAAGTGCTCCCTTAAGTTGTAATATATACTCGTATAATATATATATATATTCCTATATATATATATAGAAAGTCATTGGATATAAAAATAAAATAGATAATTCTAAAACGGTATAAAAGTCATTCATTTCTTTCGCCCTAGGGGACCGGAATGAATTCCTAATATTGCAACAGTTAATTCACCCTGCCGGTCTAATAACGTTTCATTAGTGATTTTTTTTTTAAATCATCCCAGCGCCGTTTAAAGATACTAAAGTTTTAAATGATTATGAACGCATGAGTTAGCTTTTTTCTGTCTTTATGAATATTATTTTTAATACAAAATACGAGGTTAGTAGTGGTGAATATTTTTAAATTATCGTTGCTGATTAATGTGGTTATAAAATATCTTTAAAAGTTCGTTAATTTGTAAGGGAGAAAGCTACTATGGTTCAAAATGATTAAGAGTAAACAAAAAATAACGAAATGTATTAATAGAAGATGAATGGTTCATTAGAAGAATCCGAGACAATTTCAGTGAGATAATTAAAAAAAAAGTATTTTATTTATTATTACTCCTTATCGTAATTTATATAATAAATTTAGATAAAAGTAAATATATATACTTGTTTATGATTCAGTTAATTATGGTTTATGTAGACATTTCTTGCATTGAAGCTTTTTAGTTGTTATATAAAATTGAAATATTAAGAAAGTTAAACTTATATAGTAAATTTAAAAAAAAATCGATATGATTAATAACGATCTTTTTAATAATAATTTCCATGACTCAAAATCGATTTAAAGACAGTGGTATTAATATTTTTATAATTAAATATTTTATAAGTGGAGAGATTGAAACAATAAAAATTCTTCCATACATATCGGTAATGTCTAAGATCCCAATAATATCGAATTCTTAACACAATCTATTTTTTAAAAAAACACGCGAAACAATCTTTTTAAAAATGTAGAAGTGCCATGCAGGAGAATACTAGCTTATCTTAAAATGTTCCTAAGAAATGGAAGGATTTGTACTTATTGTTTGTCAGGTACGTGCGAATAAGCGTTTATTGTTTAAAAAAAAATAATAAAAGGAAGTAAAAAAAAGAAGAAGAATCAGCTAGAATTTCGTACACAAAAAAAAAATATTATGACCAGAAACTCCACCTTAGACTAACATGTTATTTGCAAATAATGATACGATTCCGATTATATATATATATATATATATATATGTATATATATATATATATATATATATATATATATATATATATATTTAATGTTTTTGTGGAGGATTAATAATCATGGGTGCTATCAACCATAAAATGTATACTTTTTGAGTTATTCGCAAATAACTTTTTCTTCTTAAGTTTCTATTCTTTCATAATTTTTTTTCTGATATTGCGGGGAGGGGAGGGGAAGGAGAGTGACTATTTTTTCCACTTGAAGGGGAAGAAAATTTTCGTAATTATGGCGGAGTCGTTGGATTTTATGAAGAATTCACGAAGAAATGGCGTACTGACAAGAAAAACAGTTTTGAGAAATAATATACAACCTGTACCACTACAACCAATGAAGGGTCTAGGTTTCAGTACTATTTAGGGAAAGTACCGTTTCTTAGTCAACGGTTGGGCAAGCAGTTGATTTGACCGAGATCACGCTCAACCGTCAGGTTTTCCCCCTTAGTTAATTATTTAATTAAGAGTACCCACCATTAAGAGACCCTAGGTGGGTCTCCTGAATCCAGATTCGCCCCACGGTTGATGAAATAGAATAAATGATTTTTTTTTTTTGCCATCAGGCGGGATTCGAACCAAGGATCTTGAGCATTGAAAGATCAGTGCTCTACCACTGAGCTACCCCACTCTCTAGAAATAATATA